TCTGGTGTGTACGGTTCTACACACCACCTCTCCTATTTATATTAAGTAAGCAAAATTTTAATAAAAAAAAAATGTCCTTAATAATCAAAATAAACTCTAACAGAGTTAATTATATATCTTTTAAAGAATATATTTTTCTTACATATCAACTAAGAGAGTCTTGTGATTTAATGCACACATATCCTTTTAAATAAATCCACAGGGCATTCCACTTTCTTCGAGCATAAACAAGCTCCTCCCGGTAGAATCCTCTCTCCACATCTTCAACAGTTACACACCCCGGAATACACCCAATAAGAGCCATCCTCTAATAAAAACAGTAAGAGACTGTAAATTATTCTTTATAAACATCAATCTTAGATACCCATCGTTTATCCCATAAAATAAAAATACTCTGTGCAGAAACCTCGACAACAAGAGCCAACCACTCAATAAAACAACCACCCCACACACTCGTAACAATTCCATCCGAGGAAGCAACCAATATGGACTCATGCAAGCACAGCACCTGAGCACCCCATTTTTGTAAGGAAAACTTCACCAACTTCGTCTTGTCAAGGTCATTTAGACCTCGAGGATTCCACGACACAACACAGAGCAAATTTCGAAGCTCCATCTCACCCCCTACATGTTGTGCTTTTCTTTCTCTCAAGCCTCTCCTATTATTCAACATTTTCCACTCATTTTCAATAGATTGGAACAGATTTTGGGCCTGTTCTTCACTCCCTTCATAAAACATTCCCAAGTTCTAGCCTATGTTACTTGGACTCAGGTATGTGTGTCGGACATGGGCATGTGTCCATGCGTCAGACGTGTCAAATCTCTAAACTGGAGGACAGGTGGACACTGTTAAATATTCATTTTATTTAATTATTTTATTTATTTTCTAGAGTAAAGTAATGTTTTTATCTAATATAGTGCTCAATATAGGCATTTAACTCAATTTAAAGTAATAATATAATATAATTGAATGATTGAATATACTTTTAAGTACATAGCCACCCAAAAGTGTCGGACACATATCCCGTACCCATGTCCGAGCAATATGTGTCCGACATGGGTACTTCACTACTTTTGAAGAGTCTATGTAACATAGGTTCTACACATTTCAATCTTGTCCTCTACACATTTCGCCATCAAGCAATATTCTATGCCTCCATGAACCATAAATGCCAATGGCAGGACCAGACCCACAGCAGCACTATCAGCATCTTCCCAGCCCACAACCAATGCATTTTCTTCAAAAGGAACTACTGCCTGTCCCTCCCCATTGTTGTCGCATGACTAGTTATCAACTTGACATTCATTAGCGTTAGAGAGTTGTTGCTCCACAACAATTAGGAGTACCGTCCATTGTCACAGCTCATCCATTGGGCTTTCCCAAGGTCTTCATTTTACCTTGTCTTGCAATTCGGCCATTAATGCCGCAACAGATTGTTTCTTCAACCTCCAATTAGAACTCTTTTCCCTACACATAAAATGGTAACATCCTCCTCCCTTTGATTTCTCGGCACAACTATTTGTCAGATACTTCATCCTCTTGTGGAAAACTGCCCTCCTTGAAATCTCCACACAAACATCATTTCTAAAAATACCCAGTCCAACTTCTTGCATCAAACACAATTCCCCTGCCTCAGAAAGTATCTGTCATTGTCAATGTCTCTCTCAGCTTCCCCCAGAATCCCCCAAAATAGGAGAAGAGAAGAGGTGTGTGGTTGGACTTGGAAACGGGTATATTAACATCAGTATTGGGCTTGGAATCAGAATCAGGCCTCACCATCTTGAGCATTTCCTGTCCCTCTAGGTCAGGCTCCATGGGCCACTTGCCGTTTCAGCCCAAGTCCACCTTATTCATTGATTTGGCCATTAATGCATTCAGTCTCCGTCCAGCTCACTTTGATAGGGCTTAAATTTGATAGCGCATAGCCCCTTCTACCATGGATTAATATTTGGGCTAACCTGATCCAGCCCATTCTTCCTTTCTTTAAAAGCTTGTCTCATAGTCATAGTTGTTAAAGGCGAGCCTAGGCTCCAAAAAAGCCCCAGGCACATCAAGGCTCAGCTAGAGTGCCTCAACCTAGTATAGGTTAGGCCCCTTCAGTCAGGCTCACATAAAGCCCTCAAGCTCAGGCTCACACTTTTTAGTAGGTTCCAAGCCAAAAAAAAACACACGTCTTTTATTTTTTTATTGATTTATTCATATCATTTTTCATTTTTTTTAAAATGACTACTGAATTAAAATATTCTATATCATATAATGTTCACATTTAATGGGTCATATGTTTTAACATTATGAAAATATTTGACAAAATCCATAAAATTATGGTTCACTACTTACAGTAATTGAATTTAGTGCTTGATTAAGAATATTAATGATAATATATGATAAAGTTTAGCATAATTGTAGATTTTAAATGTTTCAGATTCATAATCACACATATATATATATATATATTTTAAAGTATAATCACATATAATTTGGTTAATACATATTGCATAAGAAGCGATTTATTAGCATTAATTTACTTGATCTTCTAAGTTGATATATCAAAATTTCCATTTTTAAAGAATTTGTTATTATCTGTGTCACGTATTTGAATTGTTCTTATTGTACATTGATTTTATTGAATTCATTTGTGTGATGTTGTGGCTAGTGTTATCAAAGGCCCAAGGCGACTAAGGCGCTAGAGGTCCTTTGGAGCCTAGGCGCAAGGCGAAGCACACAACTTAAAAATTAAAATACTATTAAAGCATATTCATATTCCATATTAAAGGCGCAAATGTTGTCAAAGGCGCATCTAGGCACACAACATGCGCAAGTGTTGCGCCTGTATGAGACTGGACCCTAGGCGGACCTTTAGCAACACTAGTTGTGGCCCAAATTTGGTTCTGGGTCGCAACAATGAGCATTGTGTGAGCCAAGCCCACACAAAGCTCTGGGCTGAGGAAAATTTTTACTTGTTTTTTTGCTTGCGGGTCGTGGACCCTGTTTAGTATTCTCTTGGAGCCCGATATAAAAGGAAGTTTAGGGTTTGGAGTGGGATTTTGAGAGACTAAAAAATTGTATAAAAGAGAGTGAGAGCGAGAGCGAGAGCTAGGGTTTGGGGGTTAAAAATAATCTCCAGATTTTCGCATAGTGAATTCTTTCGTCAAATCTTCGCCGTAGACGTAGGCTTTGCCAAACCACATAAATCTTTGTGCTCTTTGTGTGGCGTGTTTATTTTCTATCATGTTTCATGATTGTTGCTTGGGTGCACTGTGTTTGTTGCAACAATATGCATATAGAAAAAATATGATTTAGCTAATTTATTGAATTGATACGTTGAAAATATTCCTTATTTTGTAATTGACAAGTATATGTCGCATAGTTTAATTATTCTATTTATACTTGTAATTAATATGCATTTTGATCACACGCGCCCTGCTTCAATCAGACTAGCACATTATGTTGTGCAATGCACTTAGGCTTCAAAAGACCTTTGGCACCTTAGCGCACCTTTAACAACTATGCCCAATCCATTTATATATATATATATATATATATATATATATATAATAAAAATAAATAAATAAAAACTCCTTGTCACGTACTCCTCCGAACTTAAAAATTCTTTTTTACACCACGTGACCCCCCATCTATCTTCCATCCTTCATGATTATGTTGCCTTGGGGATACATCTTTCCCTCCACCCTCCAGCCTTCCACGTACTCCACTTTGTCCCCTACATCTCTTCACCCACAAATTCTGCAACTTGAATCACAGACTCCCTTTTTTGGCTACGACTCACTAAATCATCTTTACTACGAGTTCCCCCCATTTATCATCCAGTATCACTAACAAAGATGCCTTCGCCAGAACTAGCTCCAACTTAAACTCCACCAAAGCCAATCGGTAGCACAATCAATCATTGTATATAGTGGAACTTTGCCACCATCTTTCACCGTGAGAATTTTTTTACCAACATTCAATCTCTCATTAGTGTTCACCTTCTTAAACCATGTCATCAAATGGCTCCAAATAACGGATGACACCATAAATGCAGTGGCCATAGAACAACATCCGTCACTCCTTCCTCTGCCTCAATAAACAAGAATGACCAAACGCATCATCACCTCCCCCAAAAAAACCCTAATGGCCTTCTAATGGGATGGAAGTCAGAATATCAGCAAAGAATCCAGCAATTGAGATGCAACAACACCACATGCATTCGACGACCATGCTTCAACCTCATCCAGAGAACCCACCAGTGTCAAACTTAATCACATGACATGCTTGAGCATCTCCCTCCTCTTCCATATTCCACTCTCAGCTACTGAAAACAGTGTGTCCTCTTGCCTACGATGACTTCCCATACCTCTCGATAGGAAGGCGAGGGAGCCAAGCAACCTCCACAAACACTCGCCCAAACCCTAGCTTATTTGAATTAAGCCTTCTCCAATCTCTCTATAACTGGAGGAAGTAGAACCAATACAGATTGAATCTGCACTTTTCATTGCATTTGTTGTGAAACCCAATTCACTTCAGCTTGGAAGAAACTCAACATGAAAATGTTATCTTAACTGGGAAAGGATTCTAAAGAGAGTAAATTACCTTGCATGAATTCCTCAAAATCTTAAAAGATAGAAACCCAAAAAAATGCTGAGATGTATATACATTAATAACAAAGGAATTTATAACTGTGGCTAAATCCTTCAAAAGAGCAATGTATTGGATAAGGATCAATCATCTAGTTAATTAATTAGTTAAATGCATGTCCCCACCCCACCCCACCCCCCACCCCCTTTTATTTTTGAAATGCGATGTACAATTGTTTGATCATTCTAAGCAATATACAGGCTGAATCCAGATAAAAATCTGTCCCACATAATTACAATTTATGCTATCAGCATCACAGATAAAAAGATAAGGGTCAATGATAAATCCACAGAGAAATACATTGCAATATGGTATTCTTACTATTTACTAAAAAGTAAGAACATGAGTGATTGTATGACCATACCTGTTTTTCGGTATCCTCGTGATCTAAATGTGACAAGTAGATCAATGTTTCTCTCATGATCTACAACAATCCAATTGAAGCAAACAAATTAACATGAAAGAGAAATCAATAAAAGAAAGCACATAAACCGCAGAACAAACAGTCTAATTAACTAAAATAGCTGTTTAATTCAGAAAGTTTAAGTCCTTCTTCACATAGTGTAGGATGCAAGATGTATCATTGGTCATCGTTAGCAACAAAGAAAGATGAAAATATAGGTGATTTCTGATTATGTTAAGACATTAATCAGTGATGGTAAAATTTAGGACCTCTACTTAGAAAAAATTAAACGATGAGTCACATGCCAAACCCCAACTCCCCCCCCCCCCAAAAAAAAAAAAAAAAAAGCCTTGACTCCCCAAAACAGTGAAACAGATGTTTGAGAGAGAGAGAATTAGTCTGTAATGCCTCACTCGATGAGATAATTTTAATAACCCAAAAATAGATAAACTTTCACAAGCAAATTATCCACGGTTCATCCATATGCATAGACAAAATTAAACATTGATTTTGACATAGTAAATCACAAACTGCACATACACAGTCACAACATCTTGTATAAATTTGTTAGAGGTATTCCGTCAAAGTCTGTATCGATAGCTACCAAATAAATAAGAGATTTAATACAAAAATTGATGAAAGAGTGATTAATCATCCATTTATAAGGCCTGTATACAGAGATCAAAACCATATATCTGCAAAAAATGTATTTGATACCTTATATTGAACAAGGACATCATTGTCCTTCAAAGTTTCACGAACAATATTCCCATTTTCGTCTTCAACAATCAGAACCTCCTCAGGCTTAGCCATACGAGATATCATAAGTGATCTTAACTTTGACATTGAACCAGCATACAGATGCCATCGCTGCAAATGTTGTGAACCAAGACCGTCAACCATACCAGAAAGCAATGGCATCTGCTGATTGAACATGTAAAACTGACATCAGTAAATTTTTCCATGCACAACTTACTGATATTTCAAACATGAGCCATTTTCGAATGAGTAAATATGTAAGTTAGGGGCAATGAAGAGTAAATGTACATGCAGCAGGCACAAATTATGTTACGGAACCACATAAAGCATGCAAGCAATGAAAATTTATTAACTTGAGTAACTATTTTTATGTGTAATAGAACTAAAAAAATGACTAAAACGGAGGCAAATATAAATGTAATGCAACCAACTAGACTGTAAAAAATAAATAAACAAATGCACAAAAAATTTTATACACCAGGGTAGGAGTAGGCAAAGACAAAATACATACACAAGAATATTACTCAGCAGAGAGAATTCCAAAGTCCAATTGAGCAATTAACTTAATCAATGAACAAAGCAGAACCTAGAACCAAGAAACTCGAAAAACCTCTTCATCTCAAAAGAAAATCATGCTGAAAACACAAACTTAAGCCACAAGATATGCCTAAGGTCAGGTTCAAAGAATGATGCTGAAGACAAAATAATGAAGTTTCTAACTCCTCTAAAAATATGCGTCTCATATATCTTGAAAGACACCGTGCTCTTTCTAGTTTCTAAAGAATGTATATTGCAACCATATACTAGGTAGCATAAGTCAGTCAGATATTTAAGATGGGTTTTCTACGTCTGGCCCCAGCAAGCCCATTAAGAGATCTGAAGGTTGCTTGGACCACCATGCAAGCACAAATGCGCAACTTTTAGTTGAAACAACTTCTCCCTAAACTCCATTTTCTAGAACAACCAAGGATAGCCTTCTACACGCTTTCTCAAAGAATAATGCATAAATTTAGCGACAAGGATAAATTATCCTTATTATCCTCAAAATTGATATGAATTGACATGTAAAAATGGAGGGATTTGCTGCCACGGGTTGTGCTCTTGCTACTTTGTCATTTGGGGTTAATATTTGCTTTGATAAGTGTCATTAGGGGTTAATATATAGTCCTATCTGTTTTCTGACTTCTTCAAAATAAGATAATGAGTTGTCGTATTCTTAGTACAATATCTGTCTTTGGTTGATTGTGTGGCAGGTCAAATGATGGAGAGTGGTGATGGTTCTATATCCTGAGTTAACTCCAGCCTTCATACACACAAAAGATATAAGCTGATTAGAACACAAAAGCCCAAGATATTATCTACAAGATTAAGGATGGGGGGGGGGGGGGGGGGGGGGGGGGGGGGGGTGGGGAGAGAGAGAGAGTGATTTTACTCTCTAAAATGCAGTTAATAAAAAATTCTAATAGATTATTTAGTAAGTTACTTATTGAAGATTTAATGGAGGAATCAGTGGAGGAAAATTTTTCAGTAATTGATATTGTTTCCTATTATTGAAGATTTGGTGTTACTAGAGGAATTAGTGGAGAAAAATCCTCCTTGTTTCGGTGTTTCCTATTTTCTAATTCTTTCCATTCTCATAATTTCTTCTCCTATATAAAGGAGCCTCCACCATTGTATTGTATATGAATTGAGAGAGTATTATAAAAGTGATGTAGCTCTTTGGACTCTTTGTGCCGTGGATGTAGGCCCTAGTGGCTGAACCACGTAATATCTGTGTGTTCTACTTGTTTTATTTATCTCTTCGCTTTCGTTTCATGCTTTTCAACATTACTAGTAGTGCTACTTATACTTTCAAGCTCATTCTCTCCCTGTACACACAGTGTTTGAAAATTTGTTCGCCCAAATATTTTCTTCCAGGGAATCCTTTTCATGAAGTCCTAACTGAAAAATCCCATACACATAACCCTAAATGCAGGCACTCAGGCAGTTCTATAAGCATCTTATAACTCACACAGTGAAAAATGCAAAGGAGAATGTAAGCATGGATATGAAATATAGGAGAAAAGTATACAAGTAATAGAAACAGAAACTTAAGCTAGTAAGCAAAATCAAGAAAGCAGTCTTCCATACTTTAAGCAAACACTTAATTTTTACAAGAGACCTATCACCTTACGTTAAAGAAACAAAGGATCATAGTCTAGAAATGGGATGTCCATCATACCTGCGATCCCAACATGTTTGCAGCTGCTGCTGCATTATTCAGATTATGTGCCTCAAACAACTCTAAAACTAAGGAGTTCCAGTAGTCCAAGCAAACCTGCTCAATCATAAAACCAAAAACTATAGGTCTAGTCATGATATTCAATTTTAAAGTGAGAAAACCAAGCAGATATATAAAAAACAATACCTTAAAAACCTCATTGTCATCAACATATGAGATGTTAATGAGATATTCAAGACCCATTAGAAGTGCAGAAGTATTCTCTTGTGTGGACTCTATCACTCGAATATGAGACTGCATAAAGTAAGGAAATATCAGCGAAGCTGCTTTGCTGATTCAGAATCAAAATCTTACTGAAACTCAAGGCTTAGACTCAACAAGTAGCCCACAGAATTGTTAATACTAGTCTACTACTTCAAATTATAAGCCTTATATAGCCATAACCCCTTTGTATTTGTATTTTCTACCTAAGGAGTAATTTTAACTTTTAGTGTAATTAATATTTTTTAACAAGCAATTCTAGTGTAACTAACAAGTCCACTAAAAAATTATTAAGCATTATTTTGATAAATAAGGATGCAGTTAACTTCCTTTCTGGAAATTCGTAAGCCTTCTTTCAGTCATGGAATCCTATATACAATAAAAAATAAGATCTAGTTCTAATGGGTGTGCAACAGATAATCCAGGCCAACGACTTCTTTGAAATCATGCTCAGAGATCAGTAATATTTCAGCTTTCTCTAATACTACCCGTGGAAGACAAAGACACTCAACACAACTCAATAATACGACCCAACTACAAGGTAAGTGGATCTAAGCCAAATTGTAAAAATGGTGACTGCTGAAGATTCAGGGGGGTTCCAGTGAGGGAGTCAGGCACCAGAGAAAGATGACGATGGGGGCGAGAGCTCTGGCAAAACCATGGGGATGAAAATATGGGATCCAGACAGTGAAGAAAACCTGATTAGTATCCAGTGTCAAGGTGAGAGGACTGAAAATGGGGAAGAAGAAGAGGGCATCACTCTCTGTGTTGGAAGAGGGGTGCAATTGATGATGCAATCAGAACAAACGATGGCCTTTATATGGTCTAAGGCTGGATAGAGGGTTCATTAAAGTTGCAATGGGTTCATGTATATAAATCAAATTTCTTAACCAAGCAAGATGGACCATTTATATCCCAAAGAATCAAATGAAAAGCTCCTCTTTGTTGGATTCATGGTTTGTGGAATTCTTGCATCTATGCAATTTCCCCTCTACATACAAAAACATTAATTTATATTAATTAAAAGGTCACTCTATCCTCTTCAATGGAGGCTATTTAATTATTAAACAATTAGTGAAGAGTGTAGGAGTAAGGAAAAAAATCTACATATACTTTTCATTGATTCTAGAAAAAGCTTATCATAGGGTATTGACAAATATAATTTGGTCAGCTTTATAAAAATATAAAAAATAAAAATCAATAGAAATGATTAAGATTCTTCAAAATATGTATGTGAACTCAGAAACACACACTACATGTGATGAAACAAGTGTTTTCCACCGGCCAGTGACCTAGCGGTATCAGCCTCTTACTTTCCAAAGGGAGGTCAGGGGTTCAAGTCTCAGAAGAGACAAGTGTGTGTGAGTACCAACTAGGAAAAAAAAAAAATGTGTTTTCCTATAAACATGGAAATACACCCATGAACCAAGGGTCAGCATTAAATCCATATCTATTAACAATAATTTTAGATAAATTACAAGACTTACTGTTTTTTTGAATAGTTTGAAGATATAGTTCTTTCTTTTGTGCAGATATACTACTGGTTCATTCCCATTTGAGTATTCTTTAATGATATCCTACTTTTTATATAAGTACTTCAATGATATCTTACTTATCTAGAGAAGAAAAATAATTACAAAAAGACTTGCAAGAGGACTTTCTATGGTGCAAGTTGTATGTCGATGATATAATATTGGATACTTCAAAAGTAAATTTAGCAATAAAATTAGAGATGTGGAGAAATGTATAAAATCAAACAGTTTAAAAATTAGCAAGGCTAAAACTGAATATATTTTTTTTTGATAAGTAAAAATTGAAAACTGAATATATTGAATGCAAATTTAGTAAAGACTCGGATATTGATAATATAATGATCACACTTCAAACCCAACATTTTTTTTTATATAACTAAAATTGTATTAAGAAGCGTTTAAAAGGGGAACGCATCCATCAAAGCTACACAAGACCAAATAAGACCTCTAAACTCCCTGAGAGTCCAAAAAATCAACTATATCATCCATGGATATGCTACTTCTCCCTTTAACCCAACAAAAAAGAGTGCTAATAATGGAGAATTTCAACGCAGCAATAGGGGTCTCCTTTCCTTCAAAGGATCTCGTATTTCTTTCAATCCATAAACACCGGCAAATACACAAATGTGTGACCCTCCAGAAATCACAAGCTTGGGCCCCCATTGTACAACCTCTCCAAGCCTCTGGAAGACCAGGGCCAAGGCATAACCCACTGAACCCCGAAAAACCCGACAGTCCTAAGCCACAGGGCAATGCAAAAGAAGATGGTGCACCGTTTCCTCATTTCTCTAGCACATGCAACAACAATTAACGACAACCTATCTCCTCCACTTTAGATTGCCTTGGGTTAAAATCTTCCCCAACACAGATGTCCAACCAAAGAAAGCCACTTTGTGGCAGAAAAAACAAGAACAATGAATTCTTGTGGCAGAAATTAGGATGTTAATATAAATGATAGGAGTGACTAGAAAGAATAGGGTTACCAAGAGAGAAATTAGGAGTGGCACCTATTAGTTATAAAATAAAGAAAGTAGATTAAGGTGGTATAAACATGTGATGTTGTGGCCAAAGTTTTGGTACCAGGTTGCGTTGTGACCCGTTTTACGACCCGACGACCCCTTGAATGAGCTTGCGGCTTGTGGACCCTTTTTAGTACTCTCTTGTAGCCCAATATATAAGGGCATTCAGGGTTTGGAGTGGATGATTGAGAGACACTAAAAATCGCAAAAAAAAAGAGTGAGAGCGAGAGCTAGGGTTTGGGGCTGAAACTTGTAATCTCCTAATTTTCGCATAATGAAAACTTTCGCCGGATCTTCACCATGGATATAGGCTTTGCCAAACCATGCTAAATCTTTGTGTTCATTGTGTGTGATGTGTTTACTTTTTTGTCATGTTTCTTGATTTGTTCTTGGGTTTGTTGCGTTTGTCGTTGAAAACATATACCAAAAAGACATACAGATGCACCGGTACGAAGAGGAAGACTTACTTGCATAAAAGGTAGGAGACTGAGAGGGAGACAAAAACTAATATGGATGAAATAATTAGAAATGATTTTAAAAAGTTAAATATTGTACAAGAGAAGGTTTATGATAGGAAAGAGTTAGAAAAAGAGAATTCATGTGGCCGATCCCATTCAAATAGGATTAAAGCAAGGATGATAGTTTCTATCCCCCTTGAAAGAAACAAGCAGATCATTTTACATTGGGCATTGGTGAGTAAAATTCTTTGAGAAGATATGTTTTCTCTAATCCGGAGAATGATTCCTCGTGCATCTTTTTTTTTAACACTAAATTATGGTTTTGTTATCTTTACAAAAATAAAAATTAAATTAAAAAAATCATCTCTACAAAAAATGGATACCTCATAATTACATCATCCTCCAGAACTTGAAAAAGATAAATTGCCACTAGTACTCAAACTCTTATAGATCATTACTCATAAATGTCTGATCTAATGCACACAAATATATTTGGTTAAAAACGTAGTTGGTTAGGGTCATGATTGATACAAAAATAATAGTGCTACCAAGAGAGGAACTCGCCTTGTAAAATGAGGTGAAAAACAAAGCCAGGTTCTGAATAAATGCCTGAAGAAAAACCCACACAAACGTCCTCAGTTTACACAAGTACATTAAACACTAAATAGTATAATATGTACAAAAAACATTCACCTGTTCCTCATTAGAACCATGAGCATAAGCCTCGGGGATGTTTGTATTGAGTGGGAGGATTGCCTAAAAAACGGCAAAATCACCCCAAATTCAACAAAATAAACAACATTCATAAGAAAAACAGAAATGAAATTATTAATTGACTCATCTATAAAATACCATATAGTATGTACAGTAAGTTCTCTAAGCAAAACTGCTATTTAGTACATTATCCTCTCATACCTGCAGTTGCACCATGAATATGTTATACATTTTAACATACTGCATGTTATAAAAATCCCCAAAATTAAGAGCTGCAACCTGCAAACATCAAGACATGAAAGACAAGCGTTCAAGGAACTTAGGAACAAAAAGCAACATCCAGATTTATAACTAGCTAAAATGGAAAAAGGGTATACCTCGGTTAAACACTGGAGGGTGAGATTCCGATACGACGGCACATGGAAAAAGTTTAGGAGTGTTTCTAGCTGTCAGACAAATGAAAAAAAGCACATTAATAAAGCAAATATTAGCTGCCATATAGAAATACAAGTTCACAACAATATTCTTCCATTAAAGTTGATGCCAACAATGCAAAAATTATGTACAAACCAATGGAGATTCAAAGATATAACCCAGAGGAATCCATGATAGAAAAGCATGTAATGTGGCTAGCGTAGCCCTCATAAGCTCATTCCTTTGAGACGCTGATAGAACATAGAGGCATAATTCATGAATGAGTTGAAACTCACTGCAAATAGACAAAACAAATTTCTAAGCAAGATAAACATACACTAAATATTCTATTAAGTGGGATATTAGAAGCAGAACAAAGAGAAATGATAAACTAAGAACTTGCATAGAGCAATTATGACTTCAAAATTCGCCATAAAAATTAGACTGCTGCCTGAGAAATGGTATTTACACGAGCAACTCTACAACAGTTAAGGCTGGCAGTAGAGGTTGTTTGCAAAGAGGTCTTCAGCGTTGAGCCTTCAAAGCTTCAAACTATACTCGGTGGTGGATCCTCAGTCAATGCTCTTTTTTGTATAGCGACAACCTCTTTAGATCTAACATGAGACATGAGAGGATGGATCATAGACGCTGTACTTTATTCAAATGTTGTCTTGGGTACACATTTGGGTCTTCTTTGCCTAAAGGTAAGGGGGTATGGAAGAGCTGCTTTCCTGTTGGACTGCAACCGGAAACAAGCCCTCCATAACCCCATGTAACTTTTCCTCTTACGTGAAGCCCAGATTCTTCTTGGACCTGTTTCTTGACTCTTTTTTGTTAGAACAGTGGTATAGCTTTTTGTCTCTATTGTATTGGTGGTCTTGGGGTTTTTTTGGATAATGTTTACAGCCTGAGTATGCTCCTTACACTTGGTAAAGAAGCTTTTAGCATTTGTTAAAATATACTCACTCTTACTTACCCCAAAAAAAAAGAGAATGACTTCCAAAAATCCAAAGGTCAAGGAAAGCTTGATATTCACAACCAAAACTAGTGGTATAACAAGCAATAATGATATCATGAAAAGAATAGTGAGTACTGAACAACTGATCAAAAACTTTAGGAGATAGCTCTGTAGGGCAAAATGAACATTAGATACTTCCAGAAGAAAAGAAACGAGAGACCCATGATCAGAAAAAAATCCAAAAATAGGAACATCTCCCGCGTGTTCACTAGCAGATAAATGACATAGGCCACATTTCCAGTACAACTGCTCAAAGCCATAGCTAAGCAGTTGCCAAAACTTAAGGGAGCGACAGTCAGATCTCAGGAGAGCATTGGAAAGTAATCCCCAGGAAAACCAAGGTTATTGACATAATTACCTGTTCAATGATTGTTTAAGCTCTTTGATCTTCTGTTGAGTCATTTCGCCCCTTGAGAAATCAAAAACCTCTTCACTTAGAAGCTGAGAAGTGACAGTTTGTGTCATCCAAAATGCCTAGGATTAAATTATAAAGAAGAAAAAAATTGAAAACATTCTTACTTTCAATATGACCATGCAATTCTCGCAAATTGTTTCATTAGTTTTTGCTGCTGCAACAAGATCAGGAATGAAGCTTCGCCATTTGGCAGGCCACTCATGTTTCAAAATCTACATGTAATTAGACAAAAATTAAAGTAAGACTTGATGCAATAGGATCCGAAGATTATTTAACAGATAGAGCAAATCATCAAAGCTAATTGCATAGAATGATAGACAGAAACCTATAAATATTATAAAGGCAAACATTACCAAGTAAATACCTCCAAAAAGCTTAAAATATAAACATGAAAGTTTTACTAAATTAAGAGAGCAACCAAAGTTACACTTTCAACATTTTAGAAAATATTACGAAATCAGACTCGCTAAACAATGAACTATTATTTAAAACGAGAAAGTAGGATTTACCTGAACCAATATAATGTTAAGTTTGTTGACATACAGCCTTTCCCGCCGAAAAGATATTTCATCACTAGATAGCTAGGCAAGAGAGATCAAAGGTGAAAAGTAATTTAGTGATGACCAAATCCAATATGGACACGGAAGAAAAATATGAATTTGCAATATAGAAGAGTCTGTGAAAGAATAACTATAGAACTAATACCTTAACAATGACTTCAGAAATATAGTTTTTCATCCCATCTCGTTGTTCAACAGGCAAAGCATTCCACCTGTACTTGATTACACCTTCCAGAACCTGAATACAAAAATCACATAAAATGATCCTTCACATCAGCAGCTCAAGAAGAAAATAGAAAGAGCAGTGATGTTTCACTTCAAGTTAAATAGCTAGAGTGCCACAGATTCTCTAGAAGCATCAAATCAACCATAAAATAAAATAACAAGTTAAACCCCCATGTCCTTGAATAAGCCCATGCGGAAAAATGTACTCTCACAATCAATTCTCAGTTAAACAAACTGCATCAAATATCTACAGAAGATTCCCAAAGAAAAAGAAATTAAAAAAATTTATTTGAGGCAATAAAATTATGCCAATACCTGAAGGTCTGAACAATACTTTTTGTCTAGCCGGTAGAACATATTTCAGGCAAAATGAAAAGCACAATGCAACAAGTCTCTATGCCACTAGACAACCCCTGTCCACCTCATAATTAGAGGAGTTAATCATTTAGTTAGGGGGAGCACAGTCATGGGGAAATGAAATTGGAATTTGGAACATTGAATTTTTTTGCCGGATGGAAGGTCTTCAATTAAGGGTGCATAAAAGAGGTTCAGAATATAATACATTTCATCAATTCTACAATAAAAGAAAGGAAAGAAGAGACATACCTTCTTTTTTCATTCCCATTATAAAAAATGGAAACAAAATTAATAAGAAATAGAAATTAGGTACGAATTGTCTTAGCTTGCCGTCATGTTAGAGATTAAACCGACTCTCTTCAGCTAAAAATGCTCCTCCTTAGAGGGGAAAGGATTGAGGAGGGTTTCCAAAAGTCCACAATCGCCACCCAAGGGGACTTTTCCCCTCGCACCAAACGAATTTGAAGTTCAAAAACTATCTTTGAGCTCCCACTAGACAACCCCTCCATGCCTCAAGAGCACTCCTCAAAGAGAGGGGCATAACCCACTGAACCCTGAAGATGCCTAGAAGCATATCCCATCAATCTCTAGCCATCGGGCAATGAAGAAGAAGATAGTCCACCCCATCTACTCTTCCATCTTGCACTTGAAGCACCGGTTCATGAGGATCAGCCCCTCCTCCTCAAGTTATCTGTTGTAAGGATTCAGCCCAAAACCACTGCCATCTTCAAGGGGGCCTTAGTGCGCCACACAGCCTTCGGTGGAAAAGGAAGTGTCTCTGTGCGCACTATTCTCAAATAAAAGGAACGCACCCCGAATCTACCCTGAGAAGAGGGAAACCAAATCCACTCATACCTTGAAATGCCTCACGAATTGTACATCCCGTGTCAACCTTCCACTATCAAGACGGTAGCAGTCGGTAATCATGACATGCCTCTTCGTCACAATCCTAAAGAGCCTCGGGTGGGTGCAGGCTAGAGAGCAATCCCCGCACCAAACATCCTCCCAAAACTAAATACTCCAGCCATTTTGAATCTAAAATGAATATGCTTTCAAAACTCATCCCTACCCTTCCGAATGGATTTCTAAACTCCAACTCCCACCGAACCCCGCACCCCTAAGGAACACCACCCGCCCCTTTCCTCCCCAAACTTCGAACATGTAACCCTCCTCCAAATATCACTCCTCTCCACCTCAAATCTCCACAACCACCCAGCAAGGCTTTCTTGAAGGGAGTGAGTCTCCTAATCCCCAAACCCCCCTCCTGAATAGGCATGCACACCTAATCTCAACTCAAGAGGTGATATTTGAACTCCCCTTATAGCCTATTGATCATGATACATCACTAACATGTAGGGGTGGGCCGGGTGGCAATACTTGACACGACACACTAACACGATTCAAACACGATACGGAATAAGTGGGTTTGGATTTGACATTATCGTGTTCGGGTCATAATCATGTCGTCCCAAATTGACACGCTAATTAAATGTGTCGTGTTCTATTTAACCCACCTACCATTGTAACCCGACTAGATCATTTTAACTAAACATGCCGTGTTGGTGTTAGAAATGACCCATTTAACTTAATGTGTCGTGGACATGTTACAAATGGCCCATTTAACAAAATGAGTTGGATAAACGTGTCGTGTTTGTGTTGGTTTGACCCTAATAGTATGAAATATGATATTTTAATTAAACGCGCTAGTTATGTCGTGTCATGTTAGGTCTTGACAAATTTATTAACCCGGTTATATGTGTTGTGTCGTGTTACAATATAATAATCATGTTGTGTTCATGTCAAGATTTTTGACACAAGTAATAATTGTTTCGTGCTCGTGTCGACCTAGGATACCCATGTCCGATCGAACACTACATGAAGATGATACGCCAACACAAATTGCCACCCCTACTAACATGCCCATATGAGATTCGGTGAGTTATCCACAATCTAAAATCCAATCAAAAAATAAGACCTCTTAAATAAAATATGGTACCACTACAAATAGATTTTATCATCCGCAAATATTCAATTAATAATACATGCAAATGCACCATCTTGAACACCTTCAAGAATCACTACAAATTGCATCACAAGCTTGACCCCATGAGAACAAATCAATTGATAAATAGAAACAAAATAAATCATATTATAAGAGAGAAAATGAGGGGGGGGGGGGGGGGGGGGAACTAAGGCAACTGTGAAGAGTCTCAGAGTGAGGAGCACAATAACTGACTCGGTCATCTTCTTCCACATCATGCCCCTATTGTAAATCAAACAATTTTGCTAATTGGTTAAAAAAAAAAAGGGCAAACCCAATGCGCGAGGCTCAAGCCATTGCGGGGTATGGGAGGGTCAGATGTATGTAGTCTTACCTCCACATGCGGAAAGGCTATCTTCGTGTTTCAAACCCGTGACCTCCGAGTCACAATGGTGCAACCTTATTGTTAGCCAATTTTGCTAATTGGTTGATCCACAATAAATGACTTGCCCCTTCCCAGTCCAAGCAAAACACACCACCTCGGTAAACAGCAAAAGAATCTATTGCCTTAATATCAATTGTTCAATATTTGTCTCAAACTCCTATATCAAGAAATTATTGTTGCGATTCACTTGGGCTTGAAAAAAATTTATTCTTTGTCCAGCAAAAAAACTTGGATGTCTGGTTTCACAAATAGGTGACTAAGTGATTAGTCAAGACTCGCAAGAAAGATCAATTTGTAAGGGCCTTGCATACACACAAGTGGGACACAAAGCCAATACTTGGAAATATATATATATATATAGTAATGCTATCGTGAGAACCCTCTCATGACAAGAGGCATAAACTTTATTTATTTAACCATGAGATTGAGACAGTCTTTTAAGATGTGTGAAAAATCAAATGAGTTACTTAATAAATCTTTCAATTCATTGGTTAGACAAGGAGAGCTCACCATGAGACGGCTCTAATGATAGCATTACACTACATATATAAATCAATTTTTAGAGTTGGGTTTACTTATCCACAAAAAATAAAAATTAGAGTTGGGGTCATTTTGTAAATAACCAATACTTGTAAACAATTATAATGCGTTTAGTGTGCAGGAATGGAATGCCCATTCCAACCATTCCTTTGTTTGGTATGCAATTTAAAGTGGAATGGTCATTCCATTGGAATGAAAATTCATTCTTGGAAATGAAAATCCATTCAACAACTAAACCTATGGATTGGCCATTCCAATCCTAAGAAAAGGAAAGAAAAAAAAAAGAAAAAAAAATTAAATCAACTTCTCAAAAAACCCTCATGTTTGAAGTCCAAAAACCACCACTATCTCCCACCACAACCTCCACCGACTTCCACCGCTACCACCACCGCCGCCATCGAGTTCCACCACCTCCCACCGCTTTCCAGCATCGTCGCCGCCATCGCTTTTCATCACCGCCACCACCTTCCACCACAGCCATCGCCTTTCACCGCCGCAGCCTTCCACTACCACCGTCACTGCCTTCCACCGCCGCCGCCACCGTCACTGCCTTCCGCCGCCGCCGCCACCTTTCAACACCACCACCACCACTGCCTTCCACCACTGCCACCGCTTTCCACCACCATCACCACTTTCCACCACCGCCACTACCATCGCTTTCCACCATCGCCACCACCACCACCGTCACCGCCTTTCACCACCACCACTGCCTTCCACCACCGCCACATCCACTGCTTTCCACCACCACCGTCACCGCCTTCCACCACTGTCACCTACACCACTATTTTCTTCCACCTCCACCACCACACTACTGACACCGCTTTCCACCAACACCACTGCCGCCTTCCACCACCACTGCCGCTTTCCAACACCACCACCTACACCACTACCGCTTTCCACCTCCACCACCATCCACCACCGCCACTGCCACCATTTATTTTTAAAAAAATTATACTAGAATGTCATTTTGTTAATTTAATTTATTTGTTAATAAAAGGGATATTTTGGAGAACTCGATTTGAAATTTATTCCATTCTAAATCTTTAATTGGTCCAACCAAACACTAGAATGGCTATTATCATTCCATTCCTACACATTTCATATTTACAACCAAACAATAGAATGAGAATGACCATTCCATTCCATTCCCATTTTCATTCCATTCCCACTTGCATTCAATTCCATTCCTGCACACCAAACGCAGCATTATATATATCAATGTTTGGGCTTCTCTGTAAGAATAAATCCCCACCCTCTCTCTCTCTCTCTCTCTCTCTCTCTCGTAATGTAATTGCAACAATTACAATTGACACATATCAACTAACTAACAAGATTTTAGATAAAGATTAACAATAATTCAAAAAGTTATTTGCAAGGCCTACTCAACCCCCCTCCGGTTCTAATTAATTGCATGCTCTCTGACGTGTTAGAACCTTGAGTCACTATAATTATCACATTCCATCCGCACTACAAAAAAAAATAATAGTAATAAAAGATATATAAAAAATAAAAAATTACTTATCAAATATATATGTATACTATGGAAAAAATAAATAAATAAATAAATATATATATATAATAAAATAAATAAAAACCTACGTTGAGCACATTATAAAGACTATAGTTTCTCATTTCTCAAAGAAGGACGACGCATCTCATGCATCTCAACCATGCAATTTTCTTTTCTTTT